ATGTTCTTGAAGTGTTTGAGAACAGTTTGTTCTCATTTGTTTCTACTTCTATACTGCTTAATATTTTATTTTATATTCAATCCCTCATATATATGCATATAAAGTTGTTACAGCCCCTTGAGGGATCACTGGAGCTCGTGCCAGTCTCATGCATACATATCACAAGGAAATAATAAGTTTCTTAGCAAAGTTGGGGGGTTCTGTGTTTGTTTAGTTTAATGTGGTATGTTTGTGGGTGTAAGGAAATGGCCATGACTGTTCTACTGTACGAGTTGTTCTTCTCATGGCCCTGACAGGCTTTTTCTGTAATCGGTAACTGTGACTGCAATCAGGATTTCTGCTTTTGCTAGTGAGTGTGTTGGAAAATGAAAAGAATCAGAGTAAAACTGTCAGAAGTGAAGAGGTGGGGTGAGGAAGAACTGAGATTAACTCTTCCTCTGCCCCATCTGCATCAATGGTAGCACCGCTTTAGGGAATTAGCCTCTTTAAATCCAAGAGTACTTGAAATGGGAATATTTCTATCATAGAATGGCTTGAGCTGGAAGGGACCTTAAAGCTCCTCCAGCTCCAACCCCTGCCATGGGCAGGGACCCCTTCCACTAGAGCAGCTTGCTCCAAGCCCCTGTGTCCAACCTGGCCTCGAACACTGCCAGGGATGGGGCAGCCACAGCTTCTCTGGGCACCCTGTGCCAGCGCCTCAGCACCCTCACAGGGAAGAGCTTCTGCCTTAGATCTAACTTGAACCTCCCCTGTTGAAGTTTTAACCCATTCCCCCTGGTCTTACTGCTATTTATGTTCAATTTAATCACTTAATTCAATATAAGGAGTTGTGGGACGCACCACCTCCCCAAGAGCCTCATCTCTGACGTGTGACCCCCATTGTGGCTCCCCCCCCATCCTTCAGCAGTTCACGTGTGTGTGTGTGTGTGTGTGTGTGTGCACTCATGTTCACATGCATGTTTCCACTGGGCTGGTGGGAATGAGGGTGACCTGGTGGGTGTGTAACATTGTCCCCAAAGCCACAGCATTCTCAGCATCATCCTGACCCCCGAGTACCTTGCAGGGTCCCCCAGTGACGGCAGTCCTGGTCCCCCAGTGTCATTTTGGCCATTCGTGGCATTTCCTTCTCCTTTCCAAGAAACCCTGATTTGGCGAGGGAACAGGCTGGTGTTCCACATGCTGGGAATTGTCATTTGCGCGATGAAATTTGGCGTTTATAGAGCCCTGGTACACACATAGCTTCATAAAAACGTTCCTGGGTGCCGGGTTATTTCTGGCAATGCCAGATGCCAAGTTGGGGATCCCTCCTTTGGGATCTCAGGATGCTGCCAAGTGCTTGTGCATGGGGATAAGTGAGAACATAAGGATAAAATACACATTCCAGCTGCTGTGGGTGACAGTGACTGGGTGGAAAGTTGTTTGGAGTCTGTTGCAAGCAATGAGATGATTTTAGAAATTAAAAAAAATGAAATAAATCCAAGTTCAATTGTCAAATTTATTCTGAAAAAGAAAAAAGGCCAGATTAGGACAGAATTGGCAGACAAGGTGTTCCTTGTTTATTCCCATTGGGTTTTTATTTTAGTTCCCCCAAGCTGGTTCTTAGAATGGGGTTTGCTTGCGATGGTGTAGCTGCTGCCAGGAGGATACTCTATGGAGGGATCAGTGTTACCAGACTGTGCTGTCCAGGGAGTGGAACTTCATGTTTTATAGCCAGAGGTGGAATATTTCTTTCCAGTGTCCCGAAAAGCCTGGCTAGCTCTGTTCTCCCTGCTTGCGTTGACCGGGGGAGAAGACACGGTGAAAGGAGCCTGCACATTTTCAATGGCAGAAACCCCAGTTTGAGGTTGCCAGGGAGTGGGTCGCGGGATGTCGAGCACTTTCTCACTTTTTAGGGGTGGTTTATGTAACCTGCTTGACTATATTACTGTGTTTTTTTCCCCTCTCCAGTTACATAATCCTAATTTCTGAAAGCATTAGGAAATGGAGTGCTATTCTGTGTCTGGATAATGGCCTCTGAGCTTCTTCGGATGCTGCGATGGGCCCCTCTGCCAGCAGTCTCCCGGGAAGCTGAGGCAGGGCTGAAACAGCCCATTCTACACTTATATTACTGGTTCTTAACTTATTTTTTATGTTTTACCATCATCTGAGACCGTGTTAGCTCCTCCAGGAGTGGGATGGGTGCAGGCTGTTGCCTCTCCCTGCTTTGCTGCTGGCTCCGGCATTCCTGGGTTTTCCAGTATTTCTGGGATGTGCTACCTGTGGCAGTCTTGTCTTGATTTTTGTGCTGGGAGCAGCTGAAATCCTCAGGGGTAGGAGCAGAAGAGCATCAGTGTGTAAAACCCTTGATCGTGTCCCATCCTGGTACCTTCTCCTCTTGAAAGAGCAGCAGCCCATAAATGTTTATGGCTTTTGCTTTTCCCAGCATATGTTTGTGGTTTGGAATAAAGGAGAGGGGAAAATATATTGCTTGGGGGTTTTTGTCCATTTTACTTTAGAGGGTGTTGTGTCTCTGGGCACTCACACTGAGGGGATGGACCACGGGCTGCTGATGGGATGCTTGCTAGAGAGCCAAAAGGAGCTTTATCCCTGCATCATCTTACTTGAAGCAACCTGGAAATAAATGATTTGCTAATAACCAGATTATTTTTAATGGGTTTATATTGTAAACTGTGGTTGGGGGGCAACACCTTGTTGAAAGCCTTTTGCATGTTGCCATGGCTCCTGGGGGATGCAGAGGGGCTGAACCCATCCGTCTGTTGGAGTATTTATCCTGGCAGGGAGCAGCAGCCATTCTGCTCAGTTGTTCTTCTCGCTGCAGCTGAAACTTGAGGGCAGCCTCTTCTTCAACATATTTAAAAAGGGAAAACCAATCATTTATGACTTGGATCTTAACTAAAACTGCTTCAGAAGCTCAAAAATACTAGCTGGGCAAAATGATTAGCTAGGCAAGTGTGATGGGAGCACATGCTGTTGTATTTAAGTTAGCCTCATGCAGTAGTTCCTTTCGGTGTTCTCTTAATTGCTTAAAACTCTTCCCTTGCTACCTCTCTTCTGTTACAGCACCAGCACCTTCTGGTCCTTGGGAGGTGGTGGGTGGGCACATCCCTTTCCAGGGTGTCCCACAGGGCAGGTGGCACTGCGATGCTCAAGGGATGCTTGGCAGGTACCGGGGTCTCCATGGGCAGGAGTTAGACCTGGAGCAACAATCATGGATAACCTTTGGTCCCTGGATCTGTTACGGTTTGCCCTGGCCAAGATGGAGGTTCGTCAGGGTGCTGGGCCATGAAAGCAGCTCTATTTGTGTTTTGGCTTTTTGTTTGAATCAGAGTGGCCGTGATGGGCCCAATGCTTGCACAATGTGCATGGTAGGATGTAAATCAATCCATGTGAGTCTTAGATAGAGATAGTTTAGATTTAATGGCTTCCCTATTTATGTTAAAGAAGGGGTGGGAAGTCAGAAACATAATTAATCTCAAATTGAAGCTGTGATGTATGAGTGGGAGAAGTGGCACTTGATGTCTGAGTGCATCCTGCTGTGTCGGGATGGGGCTGAGGGTTACGTGGTGCTGCTTTGGTCAGGTTTAAGAAGGTCATGTTTTCTTAGGAATCCCAGTTTTAATTTATTCCCAACTCAGACACTATCTTCCTGGGTCTCTGCTTCTCAGGCTTGTGTTCCAGGAGCCTTAAAACACCCTTGTCCTGGGAAAAACATTGCTCCGGGCTTCCCTCTCCCGCAGTGTGGGGACTGTTCACTCAGGAAACAGGGTCTCTGCTCCCAAGGAACAAGGGATGGGACAAGAGGAAACGGCCTCAAGCTGCCCCAGGGCAGGTTTAGATGGAGCTGAGGAACAATTCCTGCCCCAGAGGGTGCTCAGGCATTGGAACAGGCTGCCCAGGGCAGGGCTGCAGTCACCGTCCCTGCAAGTGTTCACACAGCGTGGAGACGAGGCCTCAGTGCCATGGGTTAGGGGTGGCCTTGGCAGTGCTGGGAATGGTTGGGCTTCATCTTAACGATCTTTTCCAGCCTGCTTGATGCTGTGATTCTCTGATTTTATTAGAAAAAACTAGTTTCTGTAATTAAGGGGAAGCAAAACCACGGTGGGACAGCGCAGAGAGCCTGGCTGCTGCGCTGGGTAGGCTGGTCTTCGTTATCTGCCGGTGGCTGCACTAGGATCAGGTCCTCAAGCTCCTGCCTAGTTCGAGGGCTGGGATTTGGGGCAGTGCTCACTGCGATTTGGGGCAATGCTCGTGGCATTTGGGGTGATGGTCACCAGGATGTGGGGCCCCATGTTTCCCCCCTGCTGGTGCATTCAGATTTGCTGGTTTTAGTCTGACCTTTTGCATGTTAAACTCCCTCCTGTGTTGCAATCAAAAGCTTTTAAGGCTGTTGTGGTGCCATAGAAGTGCTTTGTGCTAAGTATGTCTAAAAAAAGCCAAACCCCTGCTCTTATTTTTTCATCGTGCTAGTTTTCATCCTGACTTTCAGCACCGGTCAATAAAAAAGTTGGACAGAGTATAGCCTTTTCTGTTTCTCCTTTCTTTGTTCCCCCCTTTTTTAAGCTGATGGTACGATGCTGAGTGCTGTTTTATGGAAACAGCAGGTCAAAACGTTGTCCCGTGGCTGCAGGGAGCAGGGGAGCTGCCATGGGAGCTTTTGTCCGTGGTCTTATCATCCCTTTCTGACCATAGTAGAGCTGGGTTTGTGGTTTAAAACAGCCGTCTCTGTTCTCCCTTCGTCTTAACCCCTGTTTGAGCATAAAGTGTATGTGGGTTTTTTATGTTACTGTCTTATTTTTAACTACTTCCTGTCTTCTTTACCAGGTTTGGTGTGAAATCCTCACCCTGCCTCTTCTGGGTGCGCACATCCAGACCCTTCCTGGACTTCCCGACGTTCTCCAGCGATCGCATGGTGGCAAGGTGAGAGCCCTCAAACCCCTCGCCAGCCTTTCTGCTGCTTTCCCCTCGGGTGAGCCTCTGGCAGGGATCTGCAGCAGAAAGTTTCCATTTGGAGCTGGCAAATTCCCGGTATGCTGATTTCTAGGAAACGTGGCTCGGGCTCGTGTGCTTGGTGAAACCCTAGCATGTGTGATACCTGTCTGTCCTCAGCCCGGGGCTGGACATCTGCATCCCATTCTCTGCTCGGAAAATAAGAATTTTCTCCTATTTCTTCAGGCTGGAAGATAGCAGCGTTCATGTAGAGAGGGAACTGCAAAACTAAACGGCTTGGGTTTATGGTGTGGATCTTTGTGCAGTGTGTGTTGCTGTTGTATGGTGTGCATCCTCCTGGTACCATCGTTGGAAAGGCATGTGCAAAGAGGGAAGGGCTCTGAGGTACATGGGGCCGCTAGTGACGTGGTTTAGTGATAGATTTGGCATTGCTGGGGAAAAGGTTGGACTTTCTCTTGAAGGTCTTGTCCAACCTGGTTCATTCTGTGGTTCTCTGTGCCCACTGCATTTCTGCAAGTGCCCATGCAGTGCCCTGGTGTTGCTGCCAGCCTGAAAACCACACACCATTGAAGGGTAATGAAGGTGGGGAAGGCACCAGCCATTGCCCAGCTTAAAAAGACATCAAGGAAAGCCCTTTGTTTCACCTGCTTTAAAAAAAATAGACAAAAAATGTTTAATTATCTGATGCCGCAGCTGAATTAATGTCTGTGTGGCAGTGCTAAAATGAGGAGTAAAGTCACAACGGTGCCTGTATCAGGACACGCAGGAGGATGCTCAGTCTGGGCAGCCTGGCCCTTTGCAGGCAGCTTGATTGCACATGGGCATCGACTGCTCATGAGTATCAGTCGTGATGATGCTGCTTTTAATCTGGAAGAGGAAACAATAATATTTGCAACTGCTGGTGCCAGTGTGTAGGACAGTGTTTGGGAAACCAGCAGATTTGCAAGAAGGATGGATGCAGCCTTGTTGCTTTTGAGCAGTTGAAGGGGTGGATGAGAAGGTGCTGCAAGGGCTGGAGCAGCTCTGCTCTGGAGCCAGGCTGAGAGAGCTGGGCTGGCTCAGCCTGGGGAAGAGAAGGCTCCTGAAGGGGAGACCTGAGAGCAGCTCCAGTGCCTGAAGGGGCTGCAGGAAAGCTGGAGAGGGGCTTGGGACAAGGGATGTAGGGACAGGCCAAGGGGAATGGCTTTAACCTGCCCGAGGGGAGACTGAGCTGAGCTCTTAGGCAGAAGCTCTTCCCTGTGAGGGTGCTGAGGCGCTGGCACAGGGTGCCCAGAGAAGCTGTGGCTGCCCCATCCCTGGCAGTGTTCAAGGGCAGGTTGGACACAGGGGCTTGGAGCAAGCTGCTCTATGGAAGGGGTCCCTGCCCGTGGCAGGGGTTGGAGCTGGAGGAGCTTTAAGGTCCCTTCCAACATGAACCGTTCCATGATTCTTTGAGTTTATGTTCCTTTAGTGGGGCTGTGTGCTGGCACCGTGGGTCAGGATGTGCTGGTCCAAGTGAAGCGCGTGTTGCGCACTTGTAGGAGGCTTCTGAACTCGCAAGCCTCCTTGTTTGCTCAGCTAGAAGCACTTTAATATATTTTATATTAATTAATGCTGAGATAGTTGCACTTGAAAAAGATTGTGTCCAGATGTTGAAACCTCTGGATTTCAAAGCTTGTTTATTATAACTCGTAAATGACAGATTATTACACTGAATTTTCAGGTCATCCAGTAGAGTGGGGACTGATTAAAAGCAAATGAAACCTCCAAACCCTTTCCTTCAGCAGTGAGGAATAAATTCATCCTTTTGTGGGACCTGGGGAGGGTGGAGTTGGTGGCTTTGGGTCCTGACCGGTGACTGGAGGTACAGGCCAGACCCCAGCACCGTGCTTGGAGCTCAAGCAGGGGTATTTGTGGGCTCCGGGCTCCTTCAAAGGACTTTGCTTCAGAATAGAGGGAATCAAGTTGTGCAGAACTGCCCCAAAGCAGCTTTCCTGGGCGGTGTTCTGGACTTTTTTACTCTCTTCTCTATGGCTTTTATTCTCTGTCCATGGAAATTCCTTTTCTCTTGGTGTCCTTTCAGTGATGTTCTGATGCATTGCAGGATTGCTGCCCGTCTGGGTTGAAGAGGGCGCCCCAGCCTGAGGGGGTTTAACTCTTCAGCACCCTCTCTTCCATATTTAGACCCCAGGGAAATAAAGCAGTGTGGGCGATCAGAGCGTTTAACCTGGCTTCACTGACAGACTGACAACATGAAGCTTGTGGCTAAGAACAGCGGGAGAGCAGGGTCTGCTTCTCGAGTCAGAAATACCCAGAGGCTTTTGCACGGGGTAATGAATTGTTTGTATCCCTGCTTGTATCCAAGGCACACGTGGTCCTGCAGCGGGAAGATCCGCACTGACAGCTCCAGCAAGCTCGCAGGGCTCTCACCAGCAGTCCCCGGCTTCCCCGGGGTTAAATTCGGGGAGTAGCAGATATCCCCCCCAGCTGTTTGTTTCACATTAATTGGGATTTTGGACCCCAGCCAGTCTCCTCCCGTTGCTCCAAACCCGAGATAAGTGGGAGCAGCGTGGGGTTTTCTCTAACCTAGGTGGAGCCGCTCTCACTGGATGGAGAAGTCTTGAGCTCTTTCATAATGTGGACCTCATCTTCATAGCCGGTCTTGTGGGCTCCATCCCTCCCACTGCTTCTGACGCAGAGCGTGTCCCCTCCTGCCTGCCTTGGCCAGCTTCCCTGGATGACTCCACTAATTGCTTACGTAGAAAAATAATGAGAAGGATGCGTGTGGTGTATTTTTAGATGTCTCTTGGTGGGATTTAGCAACCGGCAAACCAGAGCCAGCACCTCCCCATCCATCTTCTGCATCCCGGCGCTGGCTGCTTGGTGGACCTTGGGAGGTTCTTTCCTAGGAGGTGGAATTTCTTATGCAAGCTGCTCCCCTTTTGTGCTCCTTCTGGCCCTTAATACCACAATAAATGGGTTATGGATGTGGTTTGTGTCCCTGATGCTGCACAGGATCTGTGTCAGGAAGCCCTGAGCCACAGTGCCAGTGATGGGCACCACCACTCCTCACTCAACTCCAGAAGGATGGCCATGGTGGTGCTAGGTGGCTTGGAGACCATATCAGCACCCAAATCATAGAATGGTTTGGTTTGGAAGGGGCCTTTAAAGCACATCTAACCCAGCACCACTGCAAATACCAGCGACACCTTCCACTAGAGCAGCTTGCTCCAAGCCCCTGTGTCCAACCTGGCCTTGAACACTGCCAGGGATGGGGCAGCCACAGCTTCTCTGGGCACCCTGTGCCAGCGCCTCAGCACCCTCATTAAACACTGCCAAAGTAACCCATGGTTTATTTTCCAGTTTATCATCACCCAGAGATAATAAGCCTCTCCACCAAAGTTGTTGGTTTTAGTGGTTTTATTTAGGTTTATTATTTAGGAAAGGCAGCAGACAAAATCTTCATTCATGTTACCCCAAAGCCTGTGATAATTGAGCACTGCAGCAAGTAGTTCCTTATTTTTTTATTTGCCTCTTCCATTGCAGGACTCTTTGTGTCTCAGTGGCTTCCTGTGCTGGGGGGGTGGCGAGTTCCAGCTCTTCCCTTTCCACTCGGGTGCGAGGAGCTCAGTTCTTCTTGCAGCACAACTTATCTGTCCTTGGAGCTGGAAACATCCTTTGCTCTTTTCGTACCCCCTGAATGAGTGTTTTCTCCTGCTGGTTAACATCAGCTTCCACACCAAAGACTATGGGAGCGTTTTGCAATTCAAATGACTTTAATAGTTCTGGTTTATGTCTTAAAAAACCCATCACTTTTCATTCTCCATCACATGTTTCCTTGATTACGTGTCACGCAGCAGTGCAGCTACCAAAATAGCCTTATGGTCTGAAGGAAATCATCAGGAAATATGGGTTTTAAGCCATAGGCAATTCTCTTTTCACCAGGCACTGTTGGAAAAAGAATGTGTTTGACGAAAAAGCTTTTCTGGCACCTTAGTGGTGACGTTGGGAGTGTGGAGCTCCAGCAGGAAAAAAACTCCACTTTCTTTGAGTCTTGCTGTGAATTTTCTCTTTATCCACCCAAATAGCTGGGATTCTTTTGGTGTTTGGGTTTAGTTTTTGGAGAAGATGCTTGCTGCGTGTTCAGGTCTTTCCGTGCAGGGGGGTGCTTTGCTTGCCTGAGACTTGGAACCTGCTCTGTCTCTTTGGAGTGTTTTGGGTGGGCAAGAGAAATCAAAGTTTGCCTGGGATTGATGTGCTGCTTTCCGAATTACAGTGTCTCTGACAAAAAGGTGATTCCTTGTGGGAAATAGTCCTGAACTGTATAAAAGACCCTCAAAAGGCAAATGCTAACCTGGTACCTGTATTTCTAGCACCTGTGCCCAAGAAGTGCTCAGTTCTATGTGAGCCAGAAAGGATGGGTGAAGCTTGGTGGGCAAGGTGATCTACTTGAAGATGTCCCTGCTCATTGCAGGGGTTGGACTGGATGAGCTCTGAAGGTCCCTTTGAACCCAAACTATTCTATGATTCTGTGGTAGCCCCCAGGCTGAAGGTGAGGTCTGGGGACCACTGCGAGCATCTGCACTGGTGTGGCCAGACAAAGCTGAGGGGCTGTCCCTGGGCACTGCACATCAGGGTTTCCTGTGCCCTATGGTTCAGCAGAGCCGGGGTGGCCCCTGGGAAGGGATTTTCCGCTCTGTACACTTGAGATGTGCTCAAAGCTTCCTGCCCTGGCCCCACAGCACAGCGAGCCACTTACTTTCTTTAACCCTTTCCTCTTGCACCACTTCCCATGGTCCTGACAGGCTGACGGGGTGGGTGTCGTGTCTCCCCAGGTCCGGGGCTTATGCAAAGAGACCATGACCACTGATGAGGCCACCAAGAGCGAAGGGGAGGTGCAGGCGGCGGCTCTCGCTGAGCATGGGGAGGACATCACACCGGCTCGAGACCGAGGGGTCCTGAAGGTGAGGGGGGCTGCCAGGAGAGTCCTGCCTTTCTTTCTGCATTCTGGGGAGCACAGTTACATTGGTGGGCTGCATCTCCAGCCTCTGGGGTCACGTAGTACTTCGAGGGCTGTAGGATTGGTTTCTTCTCTTCGAAGGGCAAAGGAAATGAGCATCACTTGTAATAAAGAAGGATGGAGTGGTATTTGAGACTGATGGATTCAGGCTGCTCAATCAATTTCACTGCTATTGTGTTCCTAATCAGATTATTAGCTGTAAATCCACAAGGCATTTTTGTGTGTGACTCAACAGACATTAAAAAGAGCACACCACTGAGGTCATGCAGTCTGCTCCACAACCCGTTTTTCATATTCAGGGCCATTTCTGGATAGTTCTGCTCCCCAGCGCTTGTTCTTCTCCAGTTGAATAGGACCTTTCCTCTAAGAATAGCATCCTCCCCTGCTCCATCCTCCGCTCGAGAACTGCATGTTCCAGGCTTGTAGTATTCAAAAGAAGTGTTGACAAGAAGCGAGTAGTGAAATGACACACCCCTGCGAGTAAGATGTGTACGGGCAGAAAGCGAGCGCGGTCGCCTTCGCGTCGGGTTTCGAGCCACGGTGTTTATCCAGGCAGTGCCGCAGGGAACGGGCAGGTCTCAGCTCCCAGCCCTGTCCCATGGGGTTTATTTTTAGGGGCTGATGGAAGGACAAATTGAATGGCTCCCCCCCCCCAAGCCTTCATTTGTTTTAGAGCAGCACTGAGGTGTATATGCATGTGTGTATATAGATTTTTATGTATGTGCATGCATATATTTATATGTATGTGTACGTGTGTACATATATATGTGCATGCATGTGGTTTATGTATAAAAATGCATGTATGTATATATGAAAATGCATGTGTGCCTATATATGTCTAATATCTATGTATCTAAATAGGTGTTATATCTAATACCTATAACTATAGCTAGGATCTATAGCTAGTATCTATACTATAGATACCTATAGCTAATATTGATATCTGTATGTATGTCTCTAATATCTGTGTATCTAATATCTGTGTCCCTATCAAATACCTGTGTATCTCTCCACATGCATCCTTAGCTGTCCCACAGCCTCCCTTTCTCACCGGTGGTTTCTCTCTCCCAGATCATTAAACGACCTGGGGGTGAAGATGAGTCCCCCATGATTGGGGACAAGGTTTATGTCCACTACAAAGGCAAACTGGCCAGTGGGAAAAAATTTGACTCCAGCCGCGATCGGAACGAGCCCTTTGTCTTCAGCCTGGGCAAGGGTGAGCTGGGCCGGGGGGATGCTTGAGGCTGGGATGATCCTGGAGGGGATGGGATGACCGTGGGGGTGGTGGGACCCTGTTGCTCAATAGATGGTCGGTGTCAGCCCTGCATTAAGTGACTTCTGAGGGTGCTTCTTCTTGGGATGCCTTCCTTGGAGCACCCAGGCTGGGTATTCCCCGGGCTGGTGGTTGTTCCCTCCTGCCTCACGTGTGCCTCTCTCCTAGGTCAGGTAATCAAGGCATGGGACATCGGGGTGGCTACCATGAAGAAGGGAGAGATTTGCTACTTGCTGTGCAAACCCGAGTACGCGTACGGCTCCGCTGGCAGCGCCCCCAAAATCCCCTCCAACGCCACCCTCTTCTTTGAGGCAAGTAACGCCGCTCAGCCGGTGCGCGGATGAGTCCCTTGCTCCCTTCCTGCCTTGCCAGCCAGCTCAGAAAGGAAGAAAAACCCACCCAAAACCAACAAAAAACCCAGCTTGGATTCCTGAAACGTGTCCCTGCGCTCCAGGAACCGCTGCCAGGGTTTTCTCAGAAATGTGTGTCTGCGCTGGGAGGCTGGGACTGAAACCTCCGGCTGGGGAGAGCCCCGGAGCCAGGGGGTAGAGTGGGCAGATTCCTGCTTTAAACATGGATGTGGGAAGGAGAAGGTGGCTGGGAAAAGCCTCCGGGTGCTAAATACCCATTCATGCCGTGGGGCGGTTGGAGAGCAGAGGTTTTGGCACAGGGCAGGGCTCGTCGGGACCAGGCAGTGGGAGGAATGGGTCAGTCCGCTTTCAGGCGGAGTCTTTCCAAGTCAAGTGGGGACAAAGCCGTGGGTCGGAGCTGGTCCTGGCTGAAGGGGAAGCTTCTGCCCACGCTGGTCCTGGGCAGCTTTCGCAGCATCTTGCAGCAATGACTGTGTTGTACCCTTACAGGCTTAATAAACTTATTTGTACTGTTACTTTGTGTTGTGCTTCAGGTACTGGATGTGTCCCAATTTCTAATAAATCGGGTGTATTATGCTGTGGCTTGGAGCTGGCTTTTATGAGCAACTTCTGCTCAGCAGCTGAATGGAGAGTTGGTTGACTTGGCTCTCCAGGCAGGGGATGAACTGCTGCTCTGTGGCTTCTCTGTTGTATTTTCTCTTCTCCTTCCCCTCTCCCTGAGCTTTGCCCACCTTTTCTTTGTTGTTTTATTTTTTAGGTTGAGCTGCTTGACTTCAAAGGTGAGGACTTGTTTGAGGACGGAGGGATAATCCGGAGGATCAAGAGGAAGGGAGAAGGTTACTCCAACCCTAATGAAGGTGCTACAGTAGAAAGTGAGTGCTGGTTGCTGTGGAGGGAGGTGCTCTGCTGCAGGATCATCCCTCCAGCCCACTGGCAAGGAGCTGTTGGCACTATATAGGTTGCAGGTGTTTGTACATCGCGGTGGGATGCTGTGATGTCCACGTGGAGGCTGGATGAGATGGAGAGGTGCTGGAGGGCAGTGGTTCCCTGCCTTCCTGGGGATGTTCCCTGAGCTCTCCTTGGCTCTGCGGGAGCTGCTGGCTGGGAGGGTGGATTGGCCATGGGAGCAGCCAGAGATGCTGGAGGGACCGCTGCAGTGTAACCTGTGCTCTGTTCCCTCAGTTGCATTGACAGACATTGCTGTGAGCCCTGGAGCTGCTCAGCCAGGGCTAGGATGAAGGAAGCAAACCCTCACATGGGGTTTCAGGGCTGTGGCTTCTCCGCTGACCCTTCTGCATCCATTGTAGTGTCCAGGCTGCTCTGGGATCCGCTGGCTGCCAAAACCCCTGGCTGTGCCCTGCCTGGAAAGCATCAGTTGCCAGGACATCCTCCCTTAATGGCATCTCTTTTGGGCACTGATGCTGGTGCTCAGCAGCTTCTCTGGCATACTTGTTAGAATCCCATAGTGGTTTGTGTTGGAAGGGACCTTAAAGCTCCTCCAGCTCCAACCCCTGCCACGGGCAGGGACCCCTTCCATAGAGCAGCTTGCTCCAAGCCCCTGTGTCCAACCTGGCCTTGAACACTGCCAGGGATGGGGCAGCCACAGCTTCTCTGGGCACCCTGTGCCAGTGCCTCAGCACCCTCACAGGGAAGGGTTGTTTCAGCCTAGATGGTAGTTTTGGTGGGGTTTATTGCATCTTTTGCAGAATGGAGCCTTTTCTTCCCCTGCGGCCAGAAGGCTGCTGAAGAGGGCAGGGAGGGACTGCAATGCTAGGACAAAGGGTGATGGGTTCAAGTTGAAACAGGGAAAGTTCCAGCTGGAGATAAGGAAGAAGCTTTTTAGTGGGAGGGTGCTGAGGCGCTGGCACAGGGTGCCCAGAGGAGTGGTGAATGCTCCATCCCTGGCAGTGTTCAGGGCCAGGTTGGACAGAGCCTTGGATGACATCGTCTAGAATGAGGTGTCCCTGCCCGTGGCAGGGGGGTTGGAACTGGAGGATCCTAAGGTCCTTCCCAACCCAAACCATTTTATGATTCTGTGAAATTAATCAACAGGGTTTGCTGGGGCCAGGATGGTCTCAGCTGATACAGGAGAATGAGGAGCTCAGTCTCACGGGCTGTTCCTGTTCTGATCCTGTTTCTGGAGCAGACATTATTTGGGTCTGGATGGGGGAAGCCAGGCTCATTGATCGTGGATTCAATGATCTTAAAGGTCTTTTCCAGCCTAGCTGATTTTCTTTTCCTTCCCAAGAACCACTCAGCCACAGACTCAGAGCTTGTTCTGTATGGGAGCATTTCCTTTCTCTCTTTGAGAGCTCCCGTACACAAAGATTAACTCCCTTTAGCAAAGGAGAAATTGGATCTGAGCTGTGACAGCTCATAAAGCTCCCTGCCTTAGATGACTGGTTCTTCTGACGAGGCTTCCTCGTAAGGAAGAATGAGTTTCTGACTCAGATTGCACTGTCTGCCTCTCCCGCAGTGAGCATTCTAGCTGGGGACCAGCTGCGAGCCGAGCTTCGAGCTGGCTCCGCACCCCCAAAGATTAAACTAAAAGACTAAATGTAATGGCAGTCATACGGGTTCAGCGTTCCTCTTTATTTTGATGATGTGTGAGCACTTCACAGGCAGCACCGTGCCCAGTGCGGAGGATGGGGAGAGCCCTGGTCCCTCTGGTTTTTCCCTTTGCAGCTTGAGGTTTTCTGGAGCATGATGCTGCTTTGATGGCTCAGGAAGGGACTGAAGCAGGGAGGGAGGGCACCAGCCAGGAATCATTTCTCTGAAAGGACATAAGGAGCCAAAAGTGAAGCTCCTCACACATGTGATAGTGCCCTCCTATTATCCCTGCTCTACCTATTGCAAATGAATGCGTCCATCAGAGCAAACACTGCAAGCAGGAGCACGCTTGTGGTCATTGTGATGATGGATGTCCTGCCTGTGGAGAAGGCAGATACAGGGAATGCTGCTCTGATCCCACTGGCATCATCCCGCTGCCTCTGTTCGCAGCTTAAATGGCCCTTAATTCATTTAGTCCCATATATTCCTCTTCATCCAGGGGCTGGAGATCCTTAAATACATCACTGTGAGAGAGGACAAGGAGGAGCCACACGAGGCTGCCCTGCAGTGAGCAGTTTGGGTGCAAATTTGCACCTCGAATCCTGTGTTCAGCTCTGGGCCCCTCACTGCAGGAGAGACATTGAGGTGCTGGAGCGGGGCCAGAGAAGGGCAGCAGAGCTGGTGCAGGGCCTGGAGCACAAGTGTGATGGGGAAGGGCTGAGGGACCTGGGGGGTTCAGGCTGGAGAAGAGAAGGCTCAGGGGGGACCTGATGGCTGCCTACAAGTGCCTGAGAGGAGGATGGAGCCAGGAGGGGCTGGGCTCTGCTCCCAAGGAACAAGGGATGGGACAAGAGGAAACGGCCTCAAGCTGCCCCAGGGCAGGTTTAGATGGAGCTGAGGAACAATTCCTGCGCCAGAGGGTGCTCAGGCATTGGAACAGGCTGCCCAGGGCAGGGCTGCAGTCACCGTCCCTGCAAGTGTTCACACAGCGTGGAGACGAGGCCTCAGTGCCATGGGTTAGGGGTGGCTTTGGAAGTGCTGGGAATGGTTGGACCGGATGGGATTAAAGGGCTTTCCCAACCTGGTTCATTCTAGGATTGTATGAAACACACTTTTTTAAAGTTAAACCCAAACCCAACAGCTGCAGCACTGTTCATGGTGAGCACTGTGCTGGGATGGCACAGCAGCCATGGAGACAGCACACAGCCCACCTTTGGGCACGGCTGTGACCCATGGGAGCAGCGATGGTTTCTCGGTGCCATGTATCTGGGAGGTGTTTCTTCCAGCCTAATTCCAGCTGGGATACCACATTTCCAGGAACAAGCATCTCCAGGCTGGAGTTTTGAAAGCTTTTATTTAGGTTTTAAGTTACACAGATCCTAAAATCACGGTTCTGATCCTTAAAACCGGGGCTGCAGTTGAAATCTGGCATTCCAGCTTTTGTTACAACCTTTCCCCCCCATCCCTCCTCCTTCTCCGTTTTTAATCTGAGCACAAATTGCTGTCAGCACATCAAGTCCGTGTGCCAGCCGCACTCGGTACACTCTGTTCTCAGCTCTTCAAAAACAAAATCGCTGCAGGCACCGAGAGAACAATAAGTCAGAGCTGCAACCAGAGTGATGTTCCTCCGGAGCCTTCCCCCCTGTAATCCAAGAGCGACTGCAACCAGCTGACCTGCTCCTGGAAACCCAAGCGGAGATTCCCACCCCCCCGCTTCATCCAGTGTATTTTGTGTGCAATTAAAGTAGAGCAAAACAGTTCTTGAAGGGAAGGATCGCAGCATCCTCCTGTGCATCCTGTTTTAAAGAGGAACCTCGCCGTCACTGCCACGTCCCGCTGGGGACAGGGAAAAGGGGAGAGCTGTAGTGCTGCTGCTTTGGGGCTTGGGGATTATGGATCCATGCTCTCTGGGAACATGCATGGTGCTGTGGGTTACCTGTATTTTAGGCTGAAATTTCCACTTTCTTATGCCTAAGACAACAGCTGCAGCTTGGTTTTGGGTAGTGCAAAAGTCAAGGTCAGTCCTGGAGGAGCTCTGGGTGAGCCTGTGCATGGTCACTGCGTGCCAGTGATGGGTGCAGGATGTGTCCCAGTGTGGCTTTGGTGGCAGGAGCAGGGTGGTGAGGCAGAGCTTGGTGTCCTGTCCCTGGGGTGGGGAGAGCATCCTTGGGTGGTTATGGCAGCGTAGCTGGACCTGCCCTGGGGTTGGAGCTCTGCTGCACACTCAGTCTGGGAGTCTCATCCTGGTGACTTCCCATAGGTTCTGGGACAGGGAAGTGTCTGTGGGGCAGAGCTGGGTGGGTTTACTTCATCCCAGGCTGCAGCTCTCCCATATGGAGCCTGGACCCTCTTGGCTGTGTCTGGCGCAGCGTCTGCTTTGGCTTGTCCTTGCACTTGCCTCCTGCTGCCCTGACACCAGGGTGAGGGGCTCAGTGCACATCCTCGGGTCACATCCTGCTCCCTCTGCTGCAAGGAAAGGTAAAGCTCATGTCCTTCCGTGCTGCGGAGCCGTTCTAACCACGTCAATGCCCACTGCGGATTTTTCTCCTAACAAGTGTGTTTTGCGTTGGCTTTTTTCCCCTAACGGTACATCAGTTCCTCAGGAAACTGCTTTTACTTTACGTTTGCCTGCACGTGTTGTGCCTTGTACCTTGCAAGCAGAGTGCAGAGAACATAAAACTGTCCCCAAAGCTGGGAACGGCTTCAGGATGGAATAAATAAAGCAGAATCTTGCTGTGGAAAGGCAGCCAGCTGTACCAGGTGGTGAATGTGCCAGGTACCTGGTGTCCGCTCTGCCTGCGCTTCTGCCAGCGGCTGGGGCTGTTCCTGGTTGAAGATTAAGGGCGGGGGGGGAAGAAGAGGCAAGTTTATCTTGTACTTTGAGTTCTCGGAGGCAGGAGAACACAGCCGTGCTCTCGAGGTGGAAGGCAAGGCGCTATAGCACTGTATAGGAGGTCTGTAATCGCCATGATAAACTGCGTGGCTGCGTGCCAGGAGCAATATCCAGTTCCAGTAAGACTTGACTCGTGCAGTTGAGAACAAGGGGAACATATTAGTCATGATGTTTGTCTGTTGTCTGGTCCTTGGGTAGATGAGATGGGCCTGCCTTGCTCTTCAGCAGTGTTTCCAAGCCCTCCCCATCCCTTTCTCCTCACCAGGGGCTCTTTGGCTACCCCCAGCCCTGTGGCTTCCCCACTTCCAGAGCTGGAGGTTTTGCCGGATTTCGGGAGATCTGCTTTGTATGCCGCTTTACAAGATGTTTTCTTTAGAGCCCACCTTGCCTTGGTTGGGTGGCTCCAGGTGCAATCCTGCCCTGTCCCCTTTTCCCCTCGTAGTTCATCTGGAGGGATTCTGTGGTGGCACCAGGTTCGACTGCAAAGATGTGAAGTTCATTGTGGGTGAAGGGGAGGACCACGACATCCCCATCGGCATTGACAAAGCCCTGGAGAAGATGCAGAGGGGAGAGCACTGCATCCTCTACCTCGCGCCACGGTAAGGAGCACCCCTGCGGGGACATCATCTAGTTCTAAGCTTCCAGCATCCAAAGTTGGTTTAGCAGTCATGGAAAACAGCAATCCTGAAAATAGGACCCTCCAGGAAAGCCTTGGGTTAGTGCTGGTGGGGATGGCAGAGGGACCAGTGGCACGTAGGTAGGAATCTGGAGATGCTTCGGAAAATCAGGTAAAAGTTTTATCCAAGTCCTGTGGCTGAAAGGAAAATGTCTCCCTGGAAATCGCATGGGATTTGTCTTCACTGGATGGAAACCTGTATAGAAAGATGGATTTGATTCAGATTGGAATCATAGTGGAAATGGTGATTCCCACTATATAATGAATTGAGTATTGTCAGGTATCTTTGTGGAGAGTAACATAGAATCATAGAATCCCAGACTGGTTTGGGTTGAAAGGGACCTTAAAGCTCCTCCAGCTCCAACCCCTGCCACGGGCAGGGACCCCTTCCATAGAGCAGCTTGCTCCAAGCCCCTGTGTCCAACCTGGCCTTGAACACTGCCAGGGATGGGGCAGCCACAGCTTCTCTGGGCACCCTGTGCCAGCGCCTCAGCACCCTCACAGGGAAGAGCTTCTGCCTCAGAGCTCATCTCAGTCTCCCCTCGGGCAGGTTAAAGCCATTCCCCTTGGCCTGTCCCTACATCCCTTGTCCCAAGCCCCTCTCCTGGTTTCCTGCAGCCCCTTTAGGCACTGGAGCTGCTCTGAAGTCTCCCAGGAGCCGCCTTTTCTCCAGGCTGACCCAGCCCATGGCTGAACATCACCTTGGCCACGAAACACTAGAAAGCTGCAGATGTGGAGTTGGGGGTGAGATGGGAATTGGCAGCCTGGGTCTGAGTTCATGGCCAAACGCTGACGAAGGGAAGATTCCCCCTTCTCTGACAGCTCCTTCTGCCCGGTCAGGTACGGCTTCGGCGAGGCAGGGAAGCCGAAGTACGGCATCCAGGCGAACACGGAGCTGGTCTACGAGGTCACACTGAAAAGCTTTGAGAAGGTGAGGGCAGGAGCCAAGGTTCCCTTCGCAGTGCCCACCCTTTGCCCCTGGCATGCCTGCAGCCCAGCCCCTGCTGCAGGGGGGACGTCACCAGGGATCTCTTGGGCTGGGCTTCAAGCCTGGGTCTCGTTTGTTCCTCACCTTGTTCCTTTTGTACCTTCTTAAGTTTTGTTTTCTCCTTTTTCTCCCCCCCCGCCCCGGGCTGCACAGATACAAGTCAGTGTGTCCAGCCACTGTGCTCGCTGGGATACTGGGGACAGGATGCAAGAGATGCCCATGGGATGGGCAAGTGACGCTGTCCTGCATCCCTGGCTGGGTCCCCTCCTCAGGCATCACTCTGGTCGGAGCAGGAGTGAGACCCACCACATCTCTCAGGGCTTTTCCTCCTGTAGGGTTCAGGTGGATAGATCACCTTGGCGCAGTGAGAAATCCCAAACCTGGTGGGGGTTCCACTCTTGTAAAAGGCTTCAGGTCTTCACCCCTGTACATGCTCTGGGTGTATCCTCATACCCATTGCTGCTGGATCTACCCTTGGTAATAATGCCCTGAGGAGTCCTGCTCATTGCAAGCAATCCTGGAAAGCTGTGTGGTCCTGCCGGATGCGGTGGGCTGCCACTGGGATTGCTCCAAGTATTTCTTTGCAGGCCAAGGAGTCGTGGGAGATGGACACAAAAGAGAAGCTGGAGCAGGCTGCCATCGTCAAGGAGAAAGGCACGATGTACTTCAAGGTTTGTAAGGTTGATGATTGTGGAGCAAGGGAGCTAGACATAAATTCGGGTTGACCATCAGATAGATGACTTAGTAGATACTAGATCAAGATTTAGATCATCCAGTTCCAACCCCTGCCATGGGCAAGGACACCTTCTGCTAGAGCAGCTTGCTCCAAGCCCCTGTGTCCAGCCTGGCCTTGAACACTGCCAGGGATGGGGCAGCCACAGCTTCTCTGGGCACCCTGTGCCAGCGCCTCAGCACCCTCACAGGGAAGAGCTTCTGCCTAAGAGCTCATCTCAGTCTCCCCTCTTTTAAGGTTGTACCCATTATGCTTTGTCCTATCACTGTAGTCCCTCATGAAGAGTCTGTCTCCAGGATCTTTGTAGTCTCTTCTCCCAAGGAACAAGGGATGGGACAAGAGGAAACGGCCTCAAGCTGCCCCAGGGCAGGTTTAGATGGAGCTGAGGAACAATTCCTGCCCCAGAGGGTGCTCAGGCATTGGAACAGGCTGCCCAGGGCAGGGCTGCAGGCACCGTCCCTGCAAGTGTTCACACAGCGTGGAGACGAGGCCTCAGTGCCATGGGTTAGGGGTGGCCTTGGCAGTGCTGGGAATGGTTGGACTGGATGGGATTAAAGGGCTTTTCCAACCTGGTTGATTCTATGATTCACAGGGGCTGCACAGCAGCAGCTTGAGCCAAGCCCTGGTGGATTTGTAGGTACTTGGCATCATCCTCCATTTATTTAGTGGACACCCCACGTTAAACTTGTAACCTGTTTGCAGGATGTTTCGGGAGCAGACTGAGCGTTGTCAGCACAGGTTCCTCTAGCCTCTTCTTCTTTGCTCCACCCCAGGAAGGCAAATACCTGCAGGCAGTGATTCAGTATGGGAAGATCGTGTCCTGGCTGGAAATGGAATATGGCTTGTCTGAGAAAGAGTCGAAAGCCTCCGACTCCTTCCTCCTGGCTGCCTTCCTCAACCTGGCCATGTGCTACCTGAAGCTGCGAGAGTACACCAAAGCTGTGGAGTGCTGTGATAAGGTAGAGGTGCACAAGACAGTTGGAGCATTCTCTCCTGCTGAATGTTTTCGTTGGGAGTTTGGGGGGTTTTGAGTTTCATTTCGTACGAGAAGCAATTTCCAAATGGCAGTGTGATGGTGCCACCATCTCTTCTGCGCCTCAGAGTCTCTGTGGATGCTGTGTGCTTGGAGCAAAAGTGCCTTCTGGGGTTCAGAATCCACCTGGCCACGGGATTAGGACAATCCAGATCCATAGAACTCGATGCTGCATGGGCTGGCAGCCTTCAGAGACTGTTTGGGTCTGCCTGGGCTGGATATGGGCATTTGGTGCTGATCTGGGTAGAGCAGGGACAGTCTGCTAGAGCTGCAGCTGATCACTGGGGGATGGGATGGGGCTTTGCCAGGCCCCTAAAGAGCAGCAACCTCATCCTTGTCAGGAAACTATTAATTCTTTCATAAAAGGCTTAGATGTGAGCATCTCCTCTTGCACCCGGGATTAAGGCTAGTTGCCTTAATCTGAAAGGTAAGTCATCTCCAAGATGCGTTTGTGGCTTTTAGTAAAGGAAAATAACGTTCTTGCTAAAGCAGGGACACAAAAGCACATTCAGTCCATTGATTCCCCACCTCTGAGCTCCCTGTGCTCTTCTGGGCTCACGTTCAGCATTTACACCTGATTTCTTGCCTGTGGGTTTGTCTCCCATCGACTCAGCTACTCTCAGGGGGATTTTAAGCCTGGAGAAATAAGTAAACCATGTTATCAACCTGCCAGCTGCTGATGGAGACGAGTCAGTTCTTCAGCAAGATGCAAGTGCTCTGGAGACTTGAAGCCACCTTGTCCTAATTTCTGCACATTTAATGAGGGTATGACCCTAAGGGGGTCAGTTGTGGGAGCCCCAGTTTGCTAACGGGGACCTGTGTGTTTGCAGGCACTAGGACTGGACCAGGACAACGAGAAGGGTTTGTACCGAAGGGGCGAAGCCAGGTTATTGATGAATGAGTTTGAGCTGGCAAAATGTGACTTTCAGAAAGTGCTGGAAGTGAATCCACAGAACAAAGCAGCAAAATCCCAGATCTCTGTGTGCCAGAAGAAAACAAAGGAACACAACGAGCGGGACCGGAGGATCTACGCCAACATGTTCACAAAGTTTGCAGAGAGGGATGCAAAGGTGCGTGTTGCCATCTAGCAGGATGCTCAGCTGGTTTGTCATGGAAAGAGACGAGTTAAAACCAATTGAATTATAGATCAGGTTGAGGATGGAGGGATAGAGCCTGCTGCAGTGGGAAGAAGTGGTTTATTTCTGGGTCTCTCTTAGCCAAAGGCTGCCATCAGATGCTCAGTCATCAATGGAAGTATTTGTGCTGTGAGCTCCCGAGAGCTGATAACAGGGTGAGCATTTGGACTCGATTTTGCTGTTCCCAGCCAGTGAGTGTTGATGACCTCTTGGTCACTGGTAAAATGAAATGTCATTCTGTCTCTGGCACGGCCAAGGGTATTTTGAGACATGATAGGATGGATTTCCTGCAGCTGGTAAGGCAATAGCCTGCTCCTGTGCTCGAATGGAGAGATCACCATCTTGTAACAGGCTCTCATCCAGCATTCCTCTGAACAAAACCTGGTGTACTGTAACAAGAGAGGACATGGCTTTGCAAGCCATCTGTGTGGGTCATTTATGGTTTAATCTCTTCTGAACTGGTGCCTGGCCGTGGAATAAGTGACTAGGAAGCAGTGTGCTGGGATAACCAGCTCAGGTCCGGGAGAGTGATGGCTGGAGCAGGCGTGGGGCTGTGCTGTGCCTTAGTGCTCCTCTCCTGCCCCCACAGCCAGTGTATGGGCTGTTACGTACAGCTCAGGCTCTTATATCCCCACTCTGATGTTGCTGCCTTAATTACTTGTCCTGCTGCCCTGTTCCTCTCTCCAGGCTTGCTCCATGTCAGTGCCTTGCTCCCATCATAGAACCAGACTCGTTCATGTTGGAAGGGATCTTAAAGCTCCTCCAGCTCCAACCCCTGCCACAGGCAGGGACACCTTCCATAGAGCAGCTTGCTCCAAGCCCCTGTGTCCAACCTGCCCTTGAACACTGCCAGGGATGGGGCAGCCACAGCTTCTCTGGGCACCCTGTGCCAGCGCCTCAGCACCCTCACAGGGAAGAGCTTCTGCCTAAGAGCTCATCTCAGTCTCTCCTCGGGCAGGGTAAAGCCATTCCCCTTGGCCTGTCCCTACATCCCTTGTCCCAAGCCCCTCTCCAGATTTCCTGCAGCCCCTTCAGGCACTGGAGCTGCTCTCAGGTCTCCCCTTCAGGAGCCTTCTCTTCTCCAGGCTGAACCAGCCCAGGTCTCTCAGCCTGATCAAGGTGGGTTGCACCATTTCCAGGGGATCCCATCCCTTCCCCAAAGGCTTGCTGAGCTGATGGGCTGTAACCTTGTCCAGCTGCTGAGCCAAGAAAACAGGAGCCCCCAGTGTGAACTGCAGTTGTGTACAGGCAGGGGGGATCTCACATGGGGAGGAATTCCTAGGATGGGAATGTTTTTGTGGTGGCCTTGGCAGTGCTGGTGTAAAGGTTGGACTTGATGATCTTAAAGGTCTTTTCCAACCTGGTTGATTCTGTGATTTGCCTGCTCTACCAGGCTTGCCTGCACCCATCCGCAGCATCACTGTAACTGCCTGCTCTTTCTCCTGTTCCCAACTATGTGCTGTATTTGCCGTCCTGCAGGAAGCAGCTAGCAAAACCCGGGTTGAAAAAGTAGCAGAGAGAGCAGCTTGTGAAAAGGGATCAAAACCTGATGCTGAAGATGCTAAAGGACATGTATGATGGAGGAGGAGGGGAAGGGAGAGCCTCCTGCCCATAGAAGAAGATTGCTGTCAGACCTCAGGACTCGCCAGTGTTTTCTTGTAAAGCTTGTTACAGTTTGTGTGATCGTGGAAGCAAAAAGGCACCTTGCAAAGGAAAATCCAAACCCTGTCCCACCGCCCTGGGCCGAGCGGGAGTGGCGGGATGCTGTGGGACCACCACACGTGGAACAAACAGTGTGGAAACGGAGAGAAGGACAAAAATCATCATCATCATCATAATAATAAAAATTGAAACTCTTGCCTCTTGGGAGGTTTCCATAGACAGCTCGTCCCAGCTCCTTTGGCTTCGTGTCGGCTGTCCTGGGTCCTCCTGGGATTGGGATGTGGGAGATGCTCCTTGTACACTGCAGTGCGGCCTCCGGTTGCTGGTGCCGGTGAGGGGAGTGCTGCTGGCATAGGCACGGGTGGCACCCAGCTCCCCACAGCACCCGGTGGTTTGACACCTGTGGGTACTCACTGGGGTGGGCACAGAAATGGGTCTTCTCTCCTGGTCATTTCTTGTGTGGCCAAAAGGGTTGCAGTGTGAAGCTGGGGATGAGGGTGAGGATCTGCATCACCTTCATTGCAGCCACTTGGTGATAGGATGTGGCTTGCCTTTAACCAGGGTTTTGGTGAGCACTTTATCCTTTGAAGAAGCCAGTTTCTGTGTCATTGGAGAGTAAAACCTGTCCAGCTGCACTGCTCGCAGGCAACCAATCTGTGGCTTGCAGCGCATCCCTCAGCACCCATCTTTAAGTGATTTTATTGCTTATTTGGGCTCCATACATGGGGAAGAAAAGAGCAGGGCTTGAGACGTTGTTGGATCTGGGCTGGACCATGTGTTCACAGCTCACTGCTGTGGTGAGGGGGGCCTGGGGCACATTGTGTCTTTGCACCGGTGCTGCTGCCACCTTGGCTGTGGTCGCCCTGCATCCTAAAGGGACACTGTCAGAACAGCTTTAGTTTTCCTGTCTGTTCTTTGTAAAGCCCTTTTTGGAGCTTAAAAATAAACAACTGAAGAAAAGAAAAGAATAAAGAAGTGTTTTCTCTGGATCCTGCTCAGCAAACGGGCTTGCTGGGGGGAGGATGTGGAGATGCCCCGGCTCCAGCAAGGGATTTGTTAAGGAATTTACTGGTGCCCCTTTTTACCAGCACCATCCTGGGGGGAGGGTGGGGGGGGAGGGTTGTCCTGAAGCTTTTGGTTTTTTGCCAGTGCTTACCTTTGGGAAGGGGCTCCGGCGTGGATGGAGGAGGTTTGTGTACCCTTGGTGAGGGTGCAGAGGGAGCAGAGAGCCATGCAGGTCCCTCTGCACCCTCTGCCTGTCCCTGTTACACCCCCTCTGCCACAGTCTTGGGGTATAACCCAGATTGTGTTAGAATTTCTCTTCTTTAGTCCCACCAGGTGATAGCTGAAGCACCATTTCTCAAGCCTGCCCATTTTCTTACCTGCAGCTGTGCTGCTGCTCATCCAGGTCTCGGGTTTTACAGCATCCCCCGGGTGTTTCGGAGCCATCAAAGCATCTCTGGGTGCTGACCAGGGGCTCTGCGAAGAATTGGCTTCTTTTTGTTGCAGGCAAAGGAAAAAAGTCATCTGAGGGCAGCCCAAGCCACATTTTCCATGGGAAACAGCACAAACCCCACAACTTGCTTTCAATTTCTGGGTTCCCTTCCCTTCACACACACACACACACACCCCCCCAAGCAAATTTATTGCTTATTCCGGCTCGGAGCTTTTACCCCCGTGGAAAAGAAACCGACCGCGGGCAGGTGACGCGGTGCGGTCTGGGGCTGAAAGCGGAGCGGGGAGCACTTTGCACCCGAGGCGCCGAAGCCGTCGGGGCGCGGGTGGGTCCCGGTGCGCGGTGCTCCAATGCCCTCTAGCGGCACCGGGAGGAAGTGGGGCGGCGGGGGGGGGGTCTGGGGTGGGCCGGGCAAGGCTGAGGGGTTGGGGGGCACCCCCAGGACACTTGGCTTGTCCAGCTTTGCATGGAGAGCATCCAGGTGGCCTTTGGACGGGAATGCAGTGGCGTTAGCGGGGTGAGGCAGGAGCAGTGACCTGAAGGGACCTGGGGATGGGGGATCCGAGTTGGAGCAGAGCTGTGGTCCATAGGGAAGCCCTTGGCATTGCCTGGAGTTGGGATGCTGCCTTCCCCCATGCACAACTCCCACGAAACAGCCCAAATCCTGCTTTTCTATCACAAAATAAAAGACATGCCCCATCTGTGGCAGTGTTCAAGGCCAGGTTGGACACAGGGGCTTGGAGCAAGCTGCTCTAGTGGAAGGGGTCCCTGCCCTTGGCAGGGGCTTGGAGCTGGAGGAGCTTTAAGGTTCTTTCCAGCACAAAACATTCTGTGATTCCATGCTTTTTGGGTGGAAAAAAGCACATTAAGTGAGGTTAACCTCTGCATTCCTCTGCTCATACCAGGCTGGAGAGAGTGGCTCCACCATACCAGGGAACCCACCCAGTGTGCGGAGGAGCTGTGCACCCCCAAAAGGCACCTGGGGTTCAATTGACGCCCTGTGCCCAATGTGCTCCCTTGGGGCTCCCTTTTCCTGGGATTACTGCCCTGCCAGCTGCTCTCCTGGCCGGCAGCCCCTGAAATCCTATTACTGAGTTTCAGGAGAAATAAAAAGTTAATCATCTCCTTCGCCTGCTCTTCCTGCCACGGGGTTCACAGAGGTGGATGAGCTGATGCGGTGAGGCCGCTTGGACCATTGTGGCTGAGCCCATGGACCCAGCACCAGGCTGGTAGGGACCGCAGAGGTCAGCAGCTGGTGCTGGGAGGAGGGAAGGTTGGGGCAGGAGAAGGGAGCAGCCAGCTCGACACTGGACCAGGAACCATGCCACTGCAGACAGAGATCCTGCGCGAGGTCTGGGCTGCAGAGAGGTGAGTGCCAGTGGGCAGGATGCGACCTGTGGGCTGGGAAGTGTGCTGGGCTTCCCCATCGGTGCCTTTTTGTCCTATTTCCAGTTAAAATGCAATTTAATGAGCTGCTTTATCCGGGTTGGTTTTTTGCTCTGGGGTTGGTGTGGTAATGCTTGTTGGCCTACAGAGAGACAGTGTTTGTTGGTGGGGGTGTCTTATATTAACATCATTGCTGTCACCCTCGGCCAAGGTCTATCCTGGGCTCCAGGAAGGATGCTGTTGTCTGAGCTTCACCCAGTGGAGACAGGGCGAGTTGCTCCTGCAGCCAAATGAAGGCTGACTTTCCTCTCCCCAGAAATGGGGTGTTGCTTGGCCAGATGGTCTCGGAGATCATGGGGTCTCTGAAACCCCTGACCCCTTTTCTCTGTGCCCCACAGCCCCAGTGAAGAGCCGGGGAGCCCCCAGCACAAGCCCAAGCAGGTGAGAAAAAGCCCTTCCTCCCCCACCCCCAGCACCACCATCCTTGGCTGCAGGCCCAAGGTCTGGAGACATCGGAGACCCCCAAACCCCAGGGCCCCACAATGAGACTGACTTGGGGCTGGACAGGATGCTCCCTCGGGATGCTGCACCCCAGGGGAGCTTTTGGGAAGTAAAGAAAATCCCACAACCCCCCCCCCGCTCCTTTGTGCATCCTTCCAAACCCCCTTCCCACCGGTTTCACACAGCCCTCGAGGTGAGCACTCAGCGCTCATTAAGGCTTTAATTAAGCCCCTCAGTTAAGCCCTTGGCTGTGACTCACTTTCCCCTGGCCATGACCCCAAGGGCCAGACCCTCCTCAAGGGGCTTCAGCCCAGCCCTCGGATGCTGCCCGGCCTCTGAGGGGTCTCAGCAGCGATTTCATTCACATCTGGTTTAATTAGCAGCCCCTCCTCAAAGGGCTTCCTTAAGGCCTAAAGGGGTTGTTATCCTCCACCCCCCCCTCCAGCTGCTTAAGGGATTAAAGGATGCGAAGGAGTTTTTAGCTGTGAGCTGATGACATGGAAGAAACCAGCCAGTTCCCAGTTCCATTATGGGACCCCCAGCTTTCATCCCCCAAAATCTGCAGTGCTGGGATCCATCTAAAGCCCCTTCTTGCCAAACACCTTCACCCATCATGCTGGAGCATCCGGCAGGGACAGATGGCTGCATCACTGCAAGGGGCAAGGTGCATGGTTGGGTGGTGGGTGCACTGGTACAGCTGGATTTGATTAAATCACTTTCTGAGGGTCTCAAGCTGGCACCCATTCCTCAGATATCTCCTCTCTGGAGCCAAGCGCTGCCCTACATGCTCCGTGTTTGGTAAATGAAAGTTATTTATAGCCCTGCCTAACCAGGATTAGGTGTGTTGCGCCTAATCCTCCTGCTTCCCCTCTCCTGTTGACCTCCATCTGTAACAGCCCCACCGCTCCTTGCCTTTGTTGGGAGCCTTTTATGGGACCAAGAGGAGATGGGGATGTGGAGTCAGGCTGTTGCTGTCCTCATGTCCCCTGTCCCAGCTCAGGTCCCCTGGGATGCCCATAGGTGCTTGGGATGGCTCTAGGCCAAGGTCCCTGTGGCACAGTGTAGCTTGTCCCTCTTTGCTGGTGTGGTCCATGGTGCTGGGGCAGTGCCAGCATCATGTCCCTTGTTCCCGGGGCTGACATGCGGCTGGCTGGCTGCTAACAGCCCTTTTTGTTTTCCTCCCTCTGCCTTCTCGGTGGGGCTGCCCCATGGTAAGTCTCTCGTTTTAAGGTGTGAGTGTGTCCCTGCTCCCATGTGCGAAAAGCCTGGCTGTATTTCGGAAAGGGAGCTGGTGCTGCATGATCGGGGTTTGCCTTGCCAAGGAAAAAGGGGTTTAAGGCAGGCACTGTCTCTGCAGCACCACCCACAGGGGCAGAAGCTGAAGAAGAAGCGGCAGGAGCCTGCTCCAGAGCCCGAGGCAAAGCCCCGGCGGCTTCGGGTGAAGAAGCCAGGCGAGGGGGGGGCTACGGAGGAGCCCCGAGCCCTGGCACAGGGTAAACGCGGACTCCCCAGCTCCCATGGAAATGGGGGGACACCAGCGTGTCCCCCCATCCTGCACCCGCAAACAGGGGCATCTCTATCACAGGCATCTCTTGAAATACACAGGGGTGAAGAAGCTGAGGAAGAAGAAGGAGGAGAAGGGGGAGGAGGAGAACAACAAGGACCCTAAATTCACCAAGGAGCCTCGGAGGAAAAAGGAGAGCCCAGCCCCCCGCTCACGTGTGGTCAAAGGCCCCAAGAAGCAGCAAGGTGGGGGGTAGCACCCACCCCTCTGCAAGCACCCGCTCATGGCATCCTATATCCCCATCTACCATGTCCCACTGGTGCCATCGATGGCAGGGATGCCATGTCCCACTGGTGCCACCAGTGCAGGGACTCTGCATGCGTCTGAGGGCCTTTTGGACCAAACCCCAGCTGTGGATCTAGGAAGAAGGGGGATGTGGCAGGGGAGCTGTGTGCATAGTGCTGGCTGGGGAGCCAGGACTGGGTTGGGACACGCTTCCGGGGCATCTTTCCGGGACAAAAAGCTGGGGCTCGCTCCCCCCGCCCTGCAGCCAGGAGGTGGCAGTGTGCCTTCGCCTGCTGTGTCCGGCACCGGACACGTCCCATGTGCCACTGGCCACCAGCCGCGGCTGGCCTGGTACCCACGGCCCCAGCACCATGGCCATGGTGGGATGGGTGCCGCGGGAGGTTCCCTGCTCGCAAACCGTGATGGCCCGATGCAGGAGGCCATCGCATTGCTGATGCCCTGGTGTCACCTCTGGGCAGAGCCAGCTGAGGACTCGGAGGATGAGGAGGAGGAAGAGGAGGTGGAGAGTAAAGATCCACCAAAAAAGCTCAAGAAGAAACTACCTAAAGAGTCCCCCTCGGGTGAGAGCCGGGAGAAAAAGCTGAAGCCAAAGGGTAAGTACTCAGGGGACAGGGATGGCTTGAACTCGGTTTCGTTGCCACTTGAATCTGTCCTTAGTGGGATGAGAGGTCCATAGCATTCCATCACCATTGCTCATGTAGCTGTGGGGCAATTGCCCCCTCTCCAAATCTCCCCTGAGCTCAAACCTTCCTGCCACTTCCCTGTGCCCATCACTGCCTGTACCTGTCCCCCTGTCTGGCCACTCATCAGCTCCTCCATCGCACCAGCTGACAAGGGTGACCCTGACAGCAAAGCCAAATCTGCTAAAAGCACCAAGAAGGAGCCGATGTCCATGTTCCAGGTGAATGGGGAGAAGAAGGAGAAGAAAAACAAGAAGAAAGGTACAGGGAGAGCAGGGATAAGGGGTAGCAACCAGCGCTGCTGCCCCATAGCATCACCCTGAGCTGATAGTACCCAGTGCTGCATGACAATGTCTTCCATATCCCCTCCAGCCGCCACCAGCAGTGATGAAGAGGATGATTCCGACTCCAGCACCAAACCCATCAGGTCGGGAAAGAAGAAAAACCCAGCATCCCTCTTCCAGACCGGCGGGGACCCCCCTAAGGAGAAGAAAGCCAAAAAGAAAGGTGGGAGCCCAGCACTGGTGATGTGGTGGAGGGCGGTGGGTGCTGCAGGAGTGTGGGTGAGCCTGGCCATGGAGAGGGGGTTATGATCAATGGCTGTGGGTCTATGCCGAGTTCAGGTTTGGGGTTCAGCAGAATCAGGCTCTTCCCTCCATGCCCTGCCTGCAGCTCCTCCCAGAGCAGCTGAGAGTGAGGACGAGACCCTGGAGATCCCACAGAAAAACTCCAACAAGAAGGGGAAAGGGAAGAAATCAAAGAAGGTACAAAGAAAACCCTTAGAGCCGTGGGAGGTGGCAGCTCTTCCCCCCCAGGGTGGGTTGGGGAGCTGGAGCATCATCTCTGAAGCTGCAGCACTACAGTCCAGGGGAGGTGGGGAGCAATGAGCTGGGGAAGGAGCAGGGCACAGGCTTGGCTGTGGGGCCACCATCCCCTCTTGTGCTGCAGCCCAAGGAGGAGAGAGCCCCATCGCCTGTTATTGAGGTGGACAACCTGGAGGAGTTTGTGCTGCGGCCGGCAGCACAGGGGGTGACCATCAAGTGCCGGGTGACACGGGACAAGAAGGGGATGGACCGGGGGCTTTACCCCACCTATTACCTTCACTTGGATAATGACAAGAAGGTGAGTTGGGGCTGGGATGTGGGGCTACCCCTGGGACTCTGCATCCATGCAGGAGCACCCTCAGGCTTTTGGGGAAATGCTCACCTGCATCCCAGAGGCACCTCTCCAGTCCAGAGGAGGACACGAGGATGCTCAGGGGCTGGAGCACCTCCGATACAAAGACAGGCTGAGAACATTGGGGCTGTTCAGCCTGGAGAAGAGAAGCTGCATGGAGACCTCAGAGCAGCTTCCAGTGTCTGAAGGGGGCTACAAGGATGCTGGAGAGGGACTCTTCATCAGGGACTGTAGTGATAGGACAAGGGGTGATGGGTTCAGACTGAAACAGGGGAAGTTCAGGTTGGATCTAAGGCAGAAGCTCTTCCCTGTGAGGGTGCTGAGGCGCTGGCACAGGGTGCCCAGAGAAGCTGTGGCTGCCCTATCCCTGGCAGTGTTCAAGGCCAGGTTGGACACAGGGGCTTGGAGCAAGCTGCTCTAGTGGAAGGGGTCCCTGCCTGTGGCAGGGGTTGGGGCTGGAGGAGCTTTAAGATCCTTTCCAAACCCAAACCAGTCTGGGGTTCTATCCCACTGTGGTGGTGGGTCCCCGGTGGGGCTGTTCCCTTCCCCTGCAATTCCTCCTGGGAAATGCCTATTTCACAGGGTACCCGGGATGATGAGCAAACGTTGGCTGGAGAGCCATGCTGGTGCCAGGCTGGGCTCAGACCCTCCTGGCCCAGCCTGTATTGTGGGGATCATCTCCAGTCCATGACTTCCCCAAGCTTGTGACAGTGACCTGTTGGGCTAAGCCTTGTGCAGAGGGCACGGCAAGCTGGGGGCAGTGGTGGTGATGGCCGTGATAATGCCCAGTTCCCACAAAGTTCCCCTGTCCTGGCAGGTATTCCTCCTTGCCGGGAGGAAGCGGAAGAAAAGCAAAACTTCCAACTACCTCATCTCCATCGATCCCACCGACCTGTCACGGGGAGGAGAGAACTTCATTGGGAAGCTCAGGTAGGGTTGGCGAAGGCACCCCATTGCTACATGGGTTGCTGGCTGTCCCAGGCGATGGCTGGGTCAAGCAGGAGGCTAAATGCAGTGTTCCCTGTTGCTGGGTCCAACCTGAAGAGTGTCGGGGGGCCGGGAGGGGAAAACCAGCTTGTCTGGTTCCTCCAGGCAGACAGGTTATGGCTGGAAACAGCGCCCGGCAAGTCCCAGCGTGCTGCACCGCTGGCAGCCGCACAGCAATTGCAGGGGAGCCCCCGAGGTGGCAGCACCCTCTAACACCCCGATTCAGGGGTGCCCCGAACCCAAGCAAACAGCTAAAGGATGGGAAGGATGGCGCTGGCCATGGGTGTTGCAGCTGGAGCAAAGCTGGGCTGGGGGCATAGAGGGGACTTGGTGGCACCGGCTGTGGCCATCTCCTGTCCTCGCTGCAGATCCAACCTGATGGGTACGAAGTTCACAGTGTTCGACAACGGCGCGAACCCCGACAGGGCCAACGCTGACTGGTCCAACGTGCGGCAGGAACTCTCAGCTGTGGTCTATGTAAGGAGCCCCTGGGACGTCCTGGGCAGGGGCAAGGGGGTCCCTGACCTGCACCCCTTCACTGGGCTGCTGCCAGGGGGTGGCAGGGATGTGGGATGGGGCTGGATCCATTCCTGAGCCCTCCTACAGCTGCCCACAAGAGGCTGCAGCCTGCAGTGGTTGCTGGTTTTAGGGATGGGGTTTCCTTTGCAGGAGACCAATGTTTTGGGGTTCAAAGGCCCCCGGAAGATGACGGTCATCATCCCTGGGATGAACTCTGACAACGAGAGGGTGCCCATCCGGCCCCGAAATGTAAGTTGGGGAGAAACTGCTTGGGGCCTGGATGTGCTGGGGATCACCTTGGATTTTGCCCATTTTAGGGTATGGAAAAGATTTCAGGTGTCCCTGAGATTCAAAGCACCTCCCTGGGAGGTGGGAAATGTGGTAGCTGTATTGTTTTCTCCATGCTGGATCCCAGCTCCCAGCTGGATACTGCTGCAGAGCATCCTCTGGGCACCCCATGGAGGGTAGCAGGGCTCTGGATACAGTCACCCCAACTCTGCTCCCCACTCTCACCCTCCCCAGGATAACGACGGTCTCCTGATGCGATGGCAGAACAAAAACATGGACAACGTGATTGAGCTGCACAACAAGGCGCCGGTGTGGAATGATGAGACACAGTCCTACGTCCTCAACTTCCACGGCCGGGTCACTCACGCCTCCGTGAAGAACTTCCAGATCGTGCACAGCAGTGACCGTAAGCTGGGATTGGAAGGGGGGTGATGGGGGAGCACCACCTTCAGCCGGCCCCAGCACCCCCTGGTTTTGCTGAGGTTTAATTTTCCCACGTGTGGCTGCTTTTGGGGTGCCGGGGTGAAGGCACGCAGGGCCTGAGGCACCGCGTGTAGGCAGAGGGAGCGAGCGTCATCTGTTGCCAGGCAGATTAGGGCAATGACAAACCCCGCGGGGTGCCGAGCACCTCCAGGACACTGACAGCCCCCCCCCCCCTTAGCCCAGGCTGCCCCAGGGCATCCCCCCCATACGCACCCCACGCTGCCCGCGGTCACCTCGGGGTGCGACGCGCCCTGGGGACAGTCCCTTGGGGTGGCAGCGGCTCTGCGCCGGCCGTCGTCACCTGTCGGGCGCAGTCAGAAGCCCTCGGGCTCGGGTGTTGGGTTACGGGACAGAAACAGCCCCTCGAGGGCCCCTGGTTATTTATACAGATTTCCTGTCACCCGCCCTCCGGTCCCACGGGGGGGTCCCTGTCCCCTGCCGGGGGGGTCCCTGCCGCTGCGGGGGGACTGAAGGGCGCTGTGGTTCGTGCAGTGGGGAAATGATGCTTTTTGGTAATACGCACTGCGGTACTGGGGGGGCAGCAGGTTCTTTGGGATGTCACCATTGGCAAGAGGAAAGGGCCTCAAGCTGCCCCAGGGCAGGTTTAGATGGAGCTGAGGAACAATTCCTGCCCCAGAGGGTGCTCAGGCATTGGAACAGGCTGCCCAGGGCAGGGCTGCAGTCACCGTCCCTGCAAGTGTTCACACAGCGTGGAGACGAGGCCTCAGTGCCATGGGTTAGGGGTGGCCTGGGCAGTGCTGGGGTCGGACTGGATGAGCTGAAAGGGCTTTTCCAGCCCGGTTGATTCCATGGCTCTATGGAAGGGTGGGATGGGTGCCCAGCCTCCCACTTTCTCTTCCACAGCTGACTACATCGTGATGCAGTTTGGGCGCGTGGCAGATGATGCTTTCACCATGGACTACAACTACCCCCTCTGCGCCGTGCAGGCCTTTGCCATAGCTCTCTCCAGCTTCGACGGGAAGCTGGCCTGTGAGTAGCACCTGCACAGGGACCACGTGCTGGTGCCCAGTGGATGCTCCGGTGTCCTTGTCCTGCTCCACTTCCTCCATTTCCACCTTCTTCATGGTGAATGCTCATGGTTACAGCTGCTCCTGTGGTGGTTGGAGGTGCACGACGCCTGCAGAGCACAGTGGGACACTTATCCAGGCAAACTGGGGCCAGATGGCAGAGTCAAGCTCAGGGTATATTTAGCAGATGAGGCTGACTGTGATCCCAATCTCATCCCTTTGAGACATTTCTTGGACTTAGATCCTGGAAACTCATCCCCCTTTTTTTATTTTTGACTGTTTTAGATTCTGGTTTGTATTTTGTAGCTTGGTCTCTCAGAGAGGGGGGGTTGGTGGTCTCTGTGTTTCCTCATCTGCCTATGAGTGTGCACAGACCCCCGGCCACTGAGCACCAAACTGCTTTATTCATGGAATCATAGAATCAATTAGGTTGGAAAAGACCTTTAAGATCAAGTCCAACCTTTTTTGCCCTGTCTTCCCCTGGTGCAAGCAGCCATGCAGTGCCCGTGATGTGTTTGCACACCCAGGGCTCTCCATGCACTGGGTCTAATCCCACTACCTGGAAACCTTTGGGAATTTGGGTCCCTAAGGAGCAGCTTGGCACCCAGAGCCCTGGCACCGCGTGGGCACGTGCCAAGGGGAGGCACCGGCAGCCACGTGAGGCAGAGCTGGCATCACCAGCACGGGGCTGGGCAGGGGCAATGCTGCCAGGAGGGACCTGGAAGGGAAAACTCTGGGTGCACCAGGAAGTGCCGGTGGGTGACTCACCAGGTGTGGTGCGGTGCTGAGTCACACTCAGCACCCAGCCAGGCTCCCCGTGTCCCCCCATCCCTCCAGACCCTCCTGGGCTGGTGGTGATCTGGAGCCCTGCGCACCCCATAGGTTCTCCCTGCTCATGGGGAGGTGCAGACGGGAGATGTCACCTCAGGACATAGACCCATGGATGTTACAGGGGTCTGGGGGGAGTCATTGGGAAGGAGAGGTGATGGAGAGGGCAGGCTGGGGGGAGCGAGGCAGCCTGTGCCCCATTTCCAGCACTAATGCACCTTTGTGGGGTGAGGATTTGGCTGCATGGACAGTCCCAAATTTGATTAATTCAGTGCTGAGAAACAATGGGACATGCCAAGGTGCCCCACGCTGTCCTTGACCCCCTAATAGTACTCTCACCAGTTCAGCTCATGCACTGACCGCAGGGTGGCCTGATACAGTTTGGGGTCCCCTTCCCTGGACACACACAGTTTTTTCCCCATTCTGTGGGTGATCTAAGCCTCCCAAGTTAACACTGTGAGAGGTAGCTGGGACAGAAAGGCTGAGGAGCAGGAGATGGATGAGGCAGATGTGGTTGTGCAAGAGGGATGCTCATCGTTGCTGCGCAGTGTCACAATGATGCTGTGGCCTGAAACTGTCTCTCACAGTGATTGCAGGACCGTGAGCTGCAGAGAGACCTCTGGAGAGCATCTGCCAGAGTGGCTTAATGGGTGGAGCCAAGGTTTTCCCACCATCTGCATGAATGTGGGCTCCGTGATTCATCTGCATACATTTGTGGTGGGGCAGATGAAGGCAGACAGCTCAGGGACAAAGGGACTGCGTGGGACATCGTTCCTTATCCTTGTGGTGAGATCAGAGACCTTCTTGTAAGCTAAAGGGAGAATCAGCGGTTTGGGACCAGCATCCCCTGGCTAGGTATGAGCACCAAATGTGGGGAAAGCAAGAGCTTTCTGTCCACAGATCCAGCTGTGATCCCAACATCTGTTTGGAATTGGGAGCAGCTTGGCTAACAGTTGAGCCTAACACTTGTCCCTGTCCTCTCTGATGGAAGCAGAAAAGCCAAAGTGGGGTAAGAAAAAGTAGTTAGGGCTCCCCAGGCTCTCACTGGAGCATGAGCTGCTGATACCCCAGCTGCTCCCTGGGGAGTTTCTCCCTCCCCTCACCCAAAAAGCTTTTGTGTTGCCTATTATTGCTTGCAAACCCCTTGGCGTTCCCAGCCTGCAGCCCAAGCAGAGTGAAACCCTCTGCCATGGGTGACCAATGCCATGCCACCCCATCCCAGAACCCCAAATCACTTATACAAACCCTCTAACCCAAACCAACTGCAGCCAAAGGAACAAATGCAAACAATTCAGTAGGGCGATGGATGCTCGGGCTCTTTGTTTGCGCTGGCTGTTAACACCAGAGGAGACAGGAATGGAAGCAGTTGAAATGTGTATCTACTTTGGCCGATGGAAAGTGTGACGGATGCGCCGGCAGACCAATGGTTGGGAATGCCGGGGGGTGCGTGGGTGTGAAAGGAATGCTTGCTGCAAGAAAAGATCAGGAAAAAAGGAAAAGAGAAAGAAGGAGCCTTATCAACAGGCTTTGAGCCCAACGTGTGCATCTTCCTTGGAGAAAGGGTTTCCTCTTGCCCCAGGGATGATGCGTTCCCTACACCAGGAAGGCTTTGTGGCTTCTGAAGCTTCATTTCAGGTGGTCGACAGCGCAAGGATAGATTTAACCCCATGAAGCGCGCACAGGCACAGGCATGGCCGATGGCCAGTGGCGACTGCTGGCAGCTCCTCAAGGGAATCTCCTGGGAAATGTGCTTTAGTTTTTGCAAAGATGGTTATAAGGCAAAGGGGAGGAAAAAAATAAAGGAGGTTCCAGCCTGATGCTGAGCCAGGACCAATGTCACTGTGATGCTGGTGGCTCTTGCAGGCGCTGGGTGCTGCATCCCCATCCCGCTCCAGTGGGTGGAAGCATGCTGGTCCAGAGCTGAGCAGGAGGATGGAAGTGGGGGGCTCTTCTTTGCTTCTCCTCTGCCCCAGACCCCATGTGCCCAGCACTGAGCACTGACTCACTCTTAGGGGGGATGTGGGGTATTTCTGCAGGGCTTCAAAAGGCCAAATGCCCCATGGATGGGCCGCCTGTGGAGGGAAGGGGCTGGATCCGTCCCAGCAGGTCCAGGAGCGAAGGCCATGTGGGATAACTTCTTACCAAGCAATGGAAGGGCTAGAGCTGTCGGGTGGGTTCCCAGAGAGGGCCGTGCCCAGCGGAGAGCACTGCCTCAGCTTTGGGGGCTCTTGCTCCATGCTTTGAAGTGGTGATACATTAATGAACTAAAGAAGTGATGGGGACGAGGTGTTTGTCTCTCCCTTGCCCTCCCTGTGTATTTATTTTGGGGACATTTTTGAGAGGCAAAGGCAGACTCCTGGGCTGTGGGTTTGCAGGATGGGCTCTCGCTTGCCACAGCAAGCGTCAGGCAGTACTGGGAAAGCCAATGTTTTCCAAGTGCTTTAGAAAGGAATCATTTTTTAATTAGTGAATCCATTCTGCAGAAGTGTTGGAGTTTTACAATGTTGTAGCTGTTCTTGGTGTCTTGCCTAGACTTGGATGTTCTGGCCATAAGAAAATATTATTTATGGCCTTGCTGCTTGCAGCTCTTTTATATTATAATTTGGGAAAGGAAGTTGCTGTTCCCACCAGTGGAAGAAAAGCAGAAACAGGGATTATGGACTTCTGAAGGAGGAAAAGAAATACAAATAAAGAGACAGGACTGAAACAAACCACCAAAGTAGGCTCGGATCATTGCAATCCAGAACCAGCTCATCCCAGTGGTGCCAGCAGTTGGGTTGGATTCTGTAGCCAAGCTGAAGCCGGAGCTGAACCAGGCCTGGCACAGCGGTGACCCCCTTGGTACTCCCCTGCATGGAGTTCCATGTGTTCCTAAACGTTTGCAGATCAGGCTTTTATTCATGGGCTAATGCACGCTTGTTTGCTCATGCCTTACTCAGCCTAAACTCCTATTGAACTCAATTAAGGCTGTCATCTCCAGGAGCAGTCAATGTCATTTTTGCCCAAGTAAGGGATGAGTAACGAGGGATCTGAGCGGCCCTTGGAGAATAGCAACCATTTTGTTGCAGTTTTGGAGCCAGATTTCTTACAACTTAGCACCAGGCCAAGGGTGGAAGAATGCGATATGGCTTTATTAATCACACACGATTGCTGAATGCGCTGGATGCTTTGGAGACCGCCGCTTTACAGACTGAAGCATTGGCTTGTCTTGTCCCAGAATGCTTCAATGCAACCAAGCTTGTCACGAAGATTAGAAAAACATGTTTTGAGAAGGGATGGGGTGCAAAGAACATCCCCTCTCCAAGCAGGGTGCAGGGAGGAACGCTCTCCCTGATTTACCTTGGGGGCTTTTGGGTACCACGGAGCGTGCTGGACCCCATGGCCACTGAGGCCAGGGTTTTGTCACGTGTTGCCCGTACCCGGGGCCGCAATTCCCGACAGTCGGGCTGGGTCATGGCCAGGGATTTGCATGCGATCAGCGGCTGTGGCTTAGCACGTTACCACCCATCGGCTGGCTCCTGGCTGGGTTCCCCTGGGAAATCGCAGTGGAGTGGGCTGAGAGCCCCATCCTGGGTATCTCAGGGTAGGGTGGGTGTCTGGGAGAGATGGGTATGGGGGGCTGAGGGTGTGTATGGGGGGGATAAGAGGGGCATGAAGGTGTTTGGAGAGGGGTGAGGAGGGGGATGAAGGCGTTCGGTGGGGTGTGAGAGTGTGAGGATGGCGATGAGGAGGGGGATGAAGGTGTGCGGCACGGCGCGAGGGCATGCAGAGGACAAGGATGATGTGTGGAAGGGGAGAAGGTGAGCGTAGGGAGGTGAGGATGAGTGGAGCGGGATGAAGATGTACGCGGAAGACCCTGGCAGGCTGGTGACGGGGCGGGACAGCAGCGCCGGCCCTGGGCTGCATCTCGGGGCTGTGGGCTGGAGGAGGGAGGAAGAGGAGGAGGGTGAGGAAGGCTCCTAGAGGGCGCTGCCAGGGCGCGGGACGAGCCGGGCTCCGGGGCTGCCCTTTCCCTAAAACCGTCCCGGCGGAGGGGAAGCCGCGGAGCTCGCAGCCGCTGCCCCGGGGGTGCGAGCGGGAGGGAGGGCGGGAGGACCGGTGGGAGGAGGAGGAGGTCAGCAGCAGGAGGAGGAGGAGGAGGAAGGCCCGGCCCCGCCGCCTCCTGATTGACTCCCAACTTTCTGCTCCTCCCTTGCATAAACTTTCCCGTCCCTGCGCCTGGCTCCGTGCGCGGACCCGGGAGCCCGCCGTGCTCCCCGCATTCCTGCCGCCCTCCCCGCCCCGGCCCCGGCCCCGGCCCCGGCCCGGTCCCGGCCCGGCCCCGGTCCCGGCACCCGCGGCCGGCCCAGCCCCTCCGGAGCACGGAGCAGGTAAGCGCTCGCCGGGAAGAGACTCCCAACCCCCCTTCCTCCTTCTCCTCCTCCTCCGGCGCCTCCTTCCTCCCGGCCCTCCGGCTGCACCGAGCCCCGCCGGGTGCTGGGGACGCGGCGGGGTCGCCCCAGCCCTCGGCCCCCCAGCACCCGGCAGCCCCGCCCGTCCCCTTGGGGCTCCCCCCCGACGGGTGTGTGTGTGTGAGGGGCACAGCCGCGGTGTCCCCAAGGTGTCCCCAACCCCCCCCCCCACGTTGGGTCCCCAGGGTCCCGCCCCGTCGGGGCTGTTCTGCGCTGCTTCCCCGCTCCGGCTGTTCCCCTGTAGGGACCTACGGGGTTACAAAGAGGCCTTGTGTACGGTATAGCCCCTACGTCGGGAGCAGGCGCCAGGCGTTACAGAAAGAGATAAACGGCCCCGCTGCACCCCCCTCCCCCCGGGAAACAGCACGGGACTGGGGGGCTGAGCCGGGCGGGGGTGGGGGCTACACGCATGTCACGTTACATGTGTGTCACACGCATGTAGGGGATGACCATACACTGACTGTATGCTAAACACTTTGTGCCTCGTCATAGGGGCGCATTGCTAACGAGGCAGCAATTAGGTGTATAATTTTCAGCTGTGTGTCATCTTTATTATTATTATTATTATTTTATTTTTACACCCTCCTTGTTGGGGTTGGAGTGTGTTTTTTCTTCCTTAACCCCTTTGGAAGGAAAATAAGGCCAAGCCCTCGCAGTGCCACCCGTCTCCACCCCCCGAAACTGCTCAGGTCTGTACTTGGGTGAGAAAAACACCTGTATTTTGGGGAGAAACCATCTGGAAATGGGAGTGGAGGCCCTGCCAGGGCAGTGGGCACCCTGCAGCCTGCCATTGCCGTTGGGTGGTTGGCACGGGGAGAGGCGAGGGCAGAGATCTGGGGGTTTTTGATGCTTTGTGGGGAGCCAGGGCAGGCGACCGTCCCACGGCAAAGCGATAATCTCCGGTGTCAGGCACGCCGGGGTATTTTGGGCTCCGGCGTCCTCTGTCCCCTCCTATCGCTTTACCCGGCACGGGTACGTGCGTGCTGTGAGTCAGGGCTTTGGCACTGTCCCGGGGGGCCCTGCCAGTGGGGCTGCCACCCCCCTACCCGGTTTTGGGCTGCTTGTGGTGATGGGTAGAGAACTGGGGGGCTGCCAGGCTGGTGATCCCCTCCCCTCCACCCACCGGCTCTGGGGGCCTTCATGGCACCAAAGCTCTTCCCTGCACCCACTTTTGGGGTGGGTTGTTTCACTTTGGGATGAGAGAAGAGGATCCCCAAAGTGGATGTGGAGCGAGGGCTCACCAAGGTCACCCAACAGCAAAACTGGGGGAGAAATGGGTGTGGGGTGGTGGGGCTGGGACCCTGCTTGTGGGAAAAGTGACTGTCACCGTGGCGCTGTCTGAGTGACATTCCCGGCACTTCCCCACTGGAGAGGATGGGCACAAGTGCCCCCTTGAGAGAAGGCCCTGGATTTCGTTGTTTGGGTTTTTGGGGCTGGCGTTCCCATGGGAAGGGGTTGTGGATGAGTGTGGGGTGAGCAGTCACCCCCTCCCAGGCGAGTGACACAGGGGGATGTTTCGGTCCCCAGGAAATGCTGGGCACCCAGATCCCTGCCGGGGCTGGCACCGCACTGGCTTTTCTAACAAAAATAACCCTTTGAAAGCAGCAAGCTCCACAGCGGGCTCCAGCTGCCTTCTGTGAGTGGCACTGGGTATTGCAAGGACCCTCGTCCCCACCGGGGTGCCTGCAGTGTCAGGGCTCAGCTTGGAGCAGGGGGATCCTTCTACCAGGGCATTTTGGGGAGCAAAGTGGTGCAGAGATGAACCCTCCAGCAGCCATCTCACCTCTACCATCACCTTCCTGCAAAGCAAAACCGCCTTCAGCCCCCACGTCCATCAGTAAGAGGGACTTGCATCCATTTCCCATGACATACATGGGACGTCACTATCTACCATGAGACCAAAAACAGCATCTCCCTGTAATTGCCATTTAATCCCCATCTTGCCACCACCAGAGATGGTCGGGAGGTGAATCCCGGTGGCCCTGGCACTGTGCTGAGGGAAGGAGTCTTTCCTGGTGGTGTGGAGCAAGTTGGCTCTGGGAGGAGGG